CCAAATCCTTCTCTCTCTCTCCTTTTTGTTTGTTAAGCCTCACCCGAGAATATTTTTCCCATTGCTTTTCAGAGAGAATGGGGGGGGGGGGAGGGGAAACATCGATGTGAGAAACGACCAGGGGTAGTGAGTGAACCTGCAACCCTTGGGTGCACGGGCTGATGCGCTGACCACTGAGCGACACCGGCCAGGGCCACATCCTTCTTAATGGGCAGAATGGTAATAGGTGGGACAATCTGTGGAGAGTGGGGGACTCAAAGGGTTTCTCAGGCCAGGGCAGCCAAAGCCTCCTCTTAATGGGTGAGAATGTGTCAACGATCTGTCTTGAGAGCTGGGGTCTCAAGGGCCAGCGTCTTATGCTCTAACCCTGTTCTGGGTGTTAACTGGGAGGGGCACTGTCTCCTCAGCGCATTCCCTCTCCCTGCAGGTGGGGACTCAGTTCAAGACCAGCCTGAGCAGCCTTCTGGAAATCCTCATCTCCAAGGAGCCCTCCTATATCCGCTGCATCAAGCCCAACGAGAGGAAGGAACCCAGTGAGTTGTGAATGGCTCTGAACCCCGAGAGCTCGAGCTCGGGGAAATGAGGCTGGGAGGGGCCGAGATGGAATGCAGTTAAAACCCTCACCACCACCATGGGCTTGTCCTTGTCCTCTGGGCATGAGTTCTTTTCATTTGTAATAATAGGAGGTAGCCCTAGCCGGTTCGGCTTGGACTGAAGGATCCCGGGTTCGATTCTGGTCAAGGGCACATGCCCAGTTTGTGGCCATGATCCCCAGTAGGGGGCCTGCAGAAGGCAGCCGATCAATGATTCTCCCTTTCTGAAATCAATACAAAGATCCTATATAATAAAGAGCTAATATGCTAATTAGACCGAACAGCAGAGTCCCTGATGATCTTCTGGACGAAGCCGGGGCTGCGAGGGCCAAGCCCCTTGCATGAATTTCGTGCGTCGGGCCTCTAGTATTAAAATAAAATAACAGAAGGTAAACGGCGTGGGGGCGTGTGGTCCTGAGTGAGCATTGCTCAGACTTTGGCTCAACTCGGCTGAGCCAGGCAGGCGCCAGAGGGGAGGGGAAGCCATGTTGCTTCTCTCCAGCCAGCGAACAATCTTACAAAACGGTCTCTGACTCGGCTATTCTCTAAACCCCTGCATGGTCTGTAACAGAGTCACACAGTCAAAGGCTTGCAGAGGCCGGGCAGGAAGAAAATGAGTGAAGCAGCCTGGGCATAAGGCAATAGGGAGCGGAGAGGACTGCGGCAAACTGGAGAGGGCACACCCCGTTGAAAAGGGCAGCACGACTCCCCCCCAGCTGCCATTGTCTTGTGGGACTCTAGACCTAGAATGGCCAGACCGCAGGGGTGGGTTTTTTTTAAGAGACACCAGAAATCAAGATTTCCTTGTAAAGTTCCCCCATGAAATAACACTCGTGTTGTCTTCCGGCCTAAGAAAGCACGTGTGTGGCTAGATCAGGGGTGGGCAAACTTTTTGACTCGAGGGCCACAATGGGTTCTTAAGACGGCTCCCGCGGAGTACGCGCAATTCACGCGAGCCGACTTAACTCGTTTCCCGCAACCCAAGTGTTAAACTGGACCGGAGGGCTGGAACAAAAGCATGGATGGAGTGTTTGTGTGAACTAATATAAATTCAAAGTAAACATCATTACATAAAAGGGTACGGTCTTTTTTTTTTTCTTAGTTTTATTCATTTCAAACGGGCCGGATCCGGCCCGCGGGCCGTAGTTTGCCCACGGCTGGGCTAGATCCAGCTCCCAGGCCGTCAGCTCGCAGGCTCGCCTCTGGTCTCGGCTGGTTGAAATGGAGCCATGGGGTCCTTGACTGTCGCCCCTCTTCTGTGTTTTCCAAGGCAAGTTTGACGACTTCCTCATCAGGCATCAGATCAAGTACCTGGGGCTGATGGAACACCTGCGGGTGAGGCGGGCCGGCTTTGCGTACCGGCGGAAGTATGAGCATTTCTTGCAAAGGTGAAGTTTGCTTTGTTGACCTGAACCTAGAGTAGTCCCTCGTTATGCATGGGCGGGGCAGGGGTGGGGGGTTGGGGGGAAGGGTATGTTCCAAGACCCCCAGTGGATGCCTGCAATCGCGGATAGTACCGAACCCTATAGATACGTTCTTTCCTAGACATACAACCTCTGATAAAGTTTAATTTATAAATCAGGCAAAGAGAGTAGCAACAATAATAAAATAGAACAATTGGAGCAATAGACATAAGAAAAGTTACGTGAGTCTGGTCTCTCTCAATATATCTTATTATATTGTACTCATCTTGTGATGATGTGAGATGCTAAATTGCCTTAAGCTGAGAACTTCCACCTTTTCACTTACATGAAGCCCTCTGCGGCTTCTCTTCGGCTTGTCTGAATTGCCGTCAACCCTGGTCTTGTGCTTTGGGGTCGTTATTACGTAAAATACGTGTGACTTGAACACAAGCGCTGTGACATTGTGCCAGTGATGTGATGGCTCAGGGCTGCTATGTGACTGATGGGCAGGGAGCGTATACAGCGTGCAGACGCTGGGCAAAGGGACGAGTCGTGTCCCTGGTGGGACAGAGCGGGACGGTGCCATGATTACTAATCACACTGTTCAGAATTGCATGCAGTGTGACACTTGTGAACTGCTCGTTTCTGGAATTTGCCATTTAATGTTTGTGGACTGAAGTTGACCGCGGGTAACTGAAACTGTGGAAAGCGAAGCCACGGAGGAGGGGGACTGTGGTGAGGTGAGTTTCCGGATGAGGCGGAGACTCCACCACCATCCCTCAGGGACCTCGGTTTGGTTCTTCCCGGCTGTGAGGCTGTGACGGTGATAAACAAGGATATTTCCAAGAACAGAAAGCCAACTCAGTTCATCGGCGTCCCTTCGTTTCACTAAGACCCCAACTTATGGGAATGGAAGCAGGACAAGGCCAAATGCATAGACCTGCCACCAGGGGGCAGGCATGGGTCGTGGGCCGCTTGGGTCTTGCCAGGCGCTGGGTTAGTGCTGTCAGTGTTGAGCTGATCCCCTCCGCCTACTGGGCTGTTGAGAGAAGAGGGTGTAGTGGGAACGTGGGCATAGGAGCCGCACAGAAGTGTGTGTGTGGGGGGGATCCCCATACACATGGAGTCGTAAAATAGGTGGACTTTTGTGTCTGGCTTTTTTCACTTGACATAATGTTTTCAAGATTCATCCATGTCCTAACGTGGATCATAATTCATTCCTTTTTATGGCTGAATGATACTGCATTGTGTGGCTAGGCCACCGTGTATGTATCTACTCATCCGCTGACGGACACTTGGGTGGCTCCCACTCTTGGGCTGTGATGACAATGCTGCTAGGGCCACTCATGGGCACGTTTCTGTGTGGATACATGTTTTCATTTCTTTAGGCATATACTTAGGAGTAAGTTACTGGGTCAGATGATAACTCAGTGTTCAACTGAGGAACCGCCAGACTATTTACCAGGTGTTTTTTTTTTTGAGGTACCCTCTGCAAAAATCTGAAAAATGGGTGTACACCATTTTTGCTCAGCAGCTATTCATTCACCCTTATCTCCTTCATTTTTCCCCTTTTGGTGAAGATGGCAGGAAGTAGCCACTGCCCGCCCCATCCCCACCCCAAACACACACACACACACACACACACACACACACACACACGACGCTCCCATCTTCCTGCATTTTTTGAACTTCATACATCTCCTTCCTACTTTGTTGCTGTCTGGGGCTTGTTTATTCTTTCCATAAACACCAGCGAGCACCTGCCGGTACCAGCGCTGTCCGAGAACCAGACAGGCCCACCCCTGCCACATGGCGTTCACCCTCTAGTGAGAGGGGCTGCCGAGAACACTTTATCTTCTCATCTGTCTGCTGATGGACATTTGTGTGTCTTACCTTTTGTCTATTCTGAATAATGACGCTATGAACATAAGCTTTTGCGTGGACATATGTTTTCCTGTCTCTTGTACAGGGTGGGACAAAAGAAGGCTTACAGTTGTTCACATGGAAAATACAATATTTAATAAGTAATAACACAATAATAAACTGTTTCGCATACTGACAACTGTAACCCTTTGGCTCCGCCCTGAATACCGAGGAGTGGAATTGAGTTTCTTGAGGTGTCTGATGATGTCATTGCTTTATGAAGACAGGCCCCAAACCTCCCACCCGATTGAAGTAGTTTCTCTTTTTTCTTTCTTTTTTTTCGGCCAAGTGTATATTGTTGAATTCAAAGCATCTGAATTCAAGCAAGGAATGAGCCTACTACAGCACGCGGGGCGGCTGGCATGCGACCCTGGTGGGCGGATGGTGTAAGGTCAGGGTGTGCCTCTCTCCCCAGGTACAAGTCCCTGTGCCCAGACACCTGGCCGCACTGGCGCGGGCCTCCGGCAGAGGGCGTAGAGCGGCTGATCAAATACATCGGCTACAAACCGGAAGAGTACAAGCTGGGGAGGTGAGTGGCTGGAAGTCACTGTCAGATGTTTCGGGCTTTGATCCACATCCATCTGGAGCCCAGAGATTCATTTTTCAGGAAATGACGTAAAGTATAAGCAGATACCTCCATCCACTGCATTTAAATGCAGCTCTTAAAGCAGAACCCTCTCCCGTGTGTCTCCTCCACGCGCAGTGGTTGGCTCACTCAGAAAAGTCCACGCCTCGGACACCAGCTGGGTGTCCTAGGATTTCACTCAATCCTGACACTGTCGACCTGGAGAGAGTGGCAGACCCCACAGGGAACGGCCCAGCCCTACAAAACAGCTCCTTCCCCACAGCAGATGCCTGTCCCGTGTCCAGGTTGTCACCTGGGCTTCTGACCGACCGGCTATAAACGGGGGTTCCCACAAGCCCCTCTTGGGGTTTGAATGATTCGTTAGAGCAGGAAAACATTCTACTGCAGGTTAGGATGGTATGTTAGCTTCCTGGGGCTGCATAGAACGTTAGCACAAACTAGCTGGCTTCAACCAAGAGGAATTCATGCTCTCTCAGTTCAAGATGCTAGAAGTCCAAACTCCAGCTGTTGGCAGGCTTTTTGGGGATCCTTCCTTGCTGCTTCCAGAGGCTCCTGACATTCCTTGGCTTGTGGCCACATCACTCTAGTCTCCGCCTCCGTCTTCACATGGCCTTCTTCCCTGTGTGTGTGCGTTTTTCTGTCTCTTATAAGGACATGCTTGGATTTAGGGTCCCCCCCCTAATCTGACTTTGAGCCTTACCCTTGATTACATCTGCAAAGATCGTATTTCCAAATAAGAATCTTACATTCTGAGGTTCTGAGTGGACCTGATTTTGGGGGGACCACTATGCGACCCACTACAGATGGTAGCTGACCAATTAATCATTAAAACACCTTTGTTTCCACTTCTAGAACCAAGATATTCATTCGCTTCCCCAGAACTCTGTTTGCCACGGAAGATGCTTTTGAATTTAGTAAACATCAGTTGGGTATGATTTTTATTTTTTTTTCTGTCCTGACTTCCATAGACTGTGAAATGACAGGCTTAGCTTGGGCTACATCTTCAACATGGTGTTTGATATGTTAGAAGCACTGGCTTTGAGAAGCAGGAACAAGATAGTGCCCTGGCCGGGTGGTTCAGCTGATTGGAATGTTGTCCTAGGCACCAAAAGATTGTGGGCTCGATTCCCAGTCAAGGCACATCACTGGGATCTGGTTAATGGGCAGGTGCTGGCTGGGGGGGGGGGGGGGGGGGTTTTGAACCAGCTCCCAGGGGATGTGACATTCATGTTTTCAGGGCCCTCAGGGAGCTGGGCCTGTCAGTGGGAGGATGTGTGGTCCGGCAGCCCTGGGGTCACACCCCCTTAGCTGCAAGTTTCCCCACCATCTGACCTGCAGGCCCAGTAGTCAGATGTGCTGCTGTCGGTGCAGGGTGGGGGGTGAGGGTGGGCTGTAATGCCCACCATGGAACCAGGCCCTCCTGATGGTGGCTCTGGGCCTTACCCTGGGGGAAGGCAAGAGGAAGATGAGAAAGCTCCGGACAGCTGGACTGAGTGTGACTTGCTGACGCTTGGCTTCCTCGTCCCCTCTGCACCCTCTGCACTGCAAGCCCCGAGGGTCACTTCTGACATCCCCTCAAGGTCACAACTACAGCGAGGCACACGTGAAAGTCATTCCACCAAACTTTTGTTTTATTTTAAGTGGCGAGGATTCAAGCCACATACAAAGCTTGCCTGGAAAGAAGAGTGTATGTGAAAAAAAGACAAGCAGGTAAGGGTTACACAGAAACTTTCCAGTTGGCCATGGGCCCAGCGATTTCTCATCTCCTCCCCCAGCCCGGGCTCCTTTGCGCATCCTCCCCTGCCCGTCCTTGAAACCTTGGTGTATGTGTGTGTGTGTGTGTGTGTGTGTGTGTGTGTGTGGCGGGGGGCGCTCAGGGTCCAGTTCTGGGGCCTCTTCTCATTTTTCACTCTCACTCACTCACTCACTCACTCACCAGAGATGATGACATAGTGTTCTACGTTCCATGGACATATTTTATTTGATCCACAACATATGCATGTTTAAAGAGTAACTTTTCGAAAAGGTTACGAACATGAGTCCCTTTCCTCGGTCCCTCCCCACTCTTCTGAATTTCGAATTTATAATTCCCTTGGTTTGTAAAAAATACTACCATCTATGGACACACCACTCAATAATCCATGACCTCATAGGTGGATGCCCAACCACTGAGCCACCCGGCCAGGGCTCTGTATCCCAATTTTAAAATGTAGACAATGAAAGCAAAGTAAACACGGCGAGACAAACCAAACCCCGTGGTAAGACACGTGTAAAGAAACGAGCGTCATGCTTGCCCCTGAAAAGGACACCGGGCAGCTGGAGTCCTCCCACAGGGCCCCGTGCTCCTGTCTCCCTGAGCGCCCCCCAGGGAAGAACTGAGGGCGTTCACCCCACTTTCCATCTCCGGGACTAGCCGAGCGCCGTGGCGGGCGTGCCGATGGTTGTGGCCTGGGTGACTGATTCTGAAAAACCCTTTTGGATTCAATGTGATGGTGCTCGCCTCCTAACGGCAGCAGTGAACTTTTTCAGCCATCAAACTCGAAACCCACTGGCGTGGAGCCCTGGCCCGGAAGGAGGCCGAGAGGAGGAAGTGGGCTGTGCTGATTGTAAGGAGGTAAGTTCTCGGGTGCAGGGGTGCGGCAGGGGGTGGTGGTGGGCTTGGCTGGGTTTTTTGGATTTGTGCAGACGGGGAATCCTCCTTTTGGGATGTCACCCGAGGAATTCAGCTCTTTCCTCTGAGCACCCTGATTTGATGGTGATTGCAACTTAGTCCATTTGTAGTCTTCTCTTAGTCTAGCTCAAGTCACTATGTCAAATGCCTTCTCACGCCAGGTGGGTACAGTAAGTGGGTCTCATGAGCTGGGAGAAGACAGTAAGGTATGGTGGGGACTGCGGCCAACTGGAACGCTCGTTCCCTCTCAGATGACAGCTGCCAAGGAGAAATGCCAGGCAGATCTTTTGATTTTTCAGGAAAGCTGGAAATTTGGCTTTCATGTAATACCTCTCTTTTTTGTTGTTGTTGGCAACTGATTCAAACTATTAAAAACAAAGAAGAAACAGTGTGGGTGAAGTGGGACAGACCTTTGGGGTAGATTGGGCCTGTGGGCGACATCACTGGCTTTGGCCTATGTCACCATCTAAGTAATCGCTGCCCTGTGGCCTCTTCTGATCAAACGAGTGGAGAGAACCCACAACGCGGGGAAGAAATGGGTCAGAAAACGAACGTCACGCTTCCCAATTCAGGTTCATCAAGGGGTTCATCCAGCGCGACAAGCCTCTTTGCCCCGACAATGAGGAGTTTGTCGTGTTCGTGCGCAAGAATTACATCTTGAATCTTCGCTATCACGTCCCGAAGAACGTCTTGGACAAGCGCTGGCTGAGGCCTCCTGGCATCTTGCAAAACGTAAGGACTCCGCTGGGACTCGTGTTGCAAGGGGCTGGGGCACCGACGGAGCTTTTGTGTTTGTATGTGGACCTCCCCGGGCTCGGAAGGGCTGCCTTAGCCAAGCACGTCCTTGCAAAGTGATGCACCAGAGGTTTCACTCCTGAGAACCCGTCACGTCCTCACTGGGAGCATAAAGCCATTGGAGGTCTGTTACACAGAGCACTTTTATTTTTTTAATATATATTTTTATAGATTTCAGAGAGGAAGGGAGAGTCACTGATTGCTGCCTCCTGCACACCCCACACTGGGGATCGAGCCCACAATCCAGGCATGTGCCCCAACTAGGAATTGAACTGTGACCTCCTGGTTCATAGATTAACGCTCAACCACTGAGCCACGCTACCCAGGCTACAGAGCACTTTTATTTATTTTTTAAAATATATTTTATTGATTTTTTACAGAGAAAGGAAGGGAGAGGGATAGAGAGGGATAGAGAGTTAGAAACATCGATCAGCTGCCTCCTGCACACCCCCTACTGGGGATGTGCCCGCAACCAAGACCGGAATCGAACCTGGGACCCTTCAGTCCGCAGGCTGACGCTCTATCCACTGAGCCACGCTGCCCGGGCTACAGAGCACTTTTAAATGGCGTCTGTCCTGGAGTAGCCTTCCAGGAGGGTTAGGTGACTGTCACCTACCACAGTGCCTCTCTGGAGGTGGCCCGAGGACCCTCTGTAGACGGTAAGGTTCTTGGGCTCCCACCTGGACCCACTGAGCCAGCATCCCTAGGAATCGCACTTTCGACAGTCTCTCAAGTGCCTTCAAGTTTAAAAACCACTAGCTTAGCAGCAGAGAAAAGGTAGCGTGAGATGATTAGTTGCTTTCTTGGACTGTAAGGTCTTAACGCTGCACTTCAAATCGAACTGAATTCAACTAGGTTTCCACAGCTGTTTTGGTGGCCACAGCCCGAGACGGGTGGGAAAAAAGGTGTGTTCCCCACAGGCATCGGATCTGCTCCGGAAAATGTGCGTGAGGAACCTGGTTCGGAAGTACTGCCGCGGGATCACAGCCGAGAGGAAAGCGCTGGTAGGGACGTGGGGTGCGCGGAGGGGCGGGCACTGGCCCTACGGCTGAACTACTAGTTAGCGGACCTCACCTGTCAGCCAAGGCACACGCCTCGTGCACGTGATGATTAAACACTCAGCCTGAGCCCTGTTGAGTGGCAGCTGTTAATAATCGGCATCACTCTGTTGTTACCATGGGAACAGTCCAGATGGCCCCTGCAGAGCAAATGCAGGCCCCCTGTGTGCTGGAGGTCTGGTTTTGTTTATGCAGACTTTTCCCCTAAAGGGCTAGAGTATATATTTCAGGCTTTGGGGGTCATGGGACCGCCATGGCAATGACTCAGCTCTGCTGTCAAGAGCCCCCGAGCAGCTAGAGGCAGCGTGTAACTGAAGGCAGAGCTGTGCTCCAGTAAAACTTGACTTACGAAACCAGACTGGAGGCTGGACTTGGCCCGTGGACTTGAGCCTGCTGACCTCTGACCCAGGAGCAACAAATGGCTCCCTAAATTCTGCACATCCCGCTTCCAGGGAGCCAGTGCAAGTGAAAGAGAACAAGCATAAGTAGCAACTCCGTGTTTGCCAGGGGAGCAATTTTTAGGGCATTTGGCCAAAGCCAGGCGTGTGTTCTGATGTGTGTGTGGAAGGACACAGCTCCCACAGCGTCTCCGGGAAGGGGTGCCACACGTGGACCTGGGAGCGCGCCTGTCCCGGAGGCCCATGGCCACCGCTGCTGTACATTGAACTGTGTCACCAGATGCAGCAGAAGGCGGTCGCCAGCGCAGTCTTCAGGGGAAAGAAGGAAGGCTATGCGGAAAGTCTGAATAAACCCTTTGCCAACAGTCGGATAGGTAAGTACATTTTTCCATTTACCTCGTCTTAAAAGAGCCAGGGGGAAAATTTCAACTCCATAGCATTTCCCAAGGGCTGTGCCCCAGCTGGGGTCTCGTCACAGAGGGACAGGAAGCCAGGGATGCCAGTGGCTTCTGCGAGGACTCACTGTGCTCTGTTCCCTCCTAGACGAAGGAGACATCAATCCCAAAGTGCTTCAGCTCATCGGCAACGAGAAAATCCAGGTAAGGAAGAGCGGGGCCTGGGCTCAGGCAGGACTCCTGATGGAGTCTGAGGACGGGGCCTGTTTTCTGGGGGAGCAGGCCTGGAAGCACCGAGTACGTGCAGGGGTGCGTGTGGGCGGGGCTCTGGGTACTGACTGGGCTGCCTGCCTTACTTAGGAGCGGTGCGATCCCAGGCAGGTCTGCAAGCTCTCGGGGGCTCTGCTGGCTGCTCTGTCACTTTGATCCCCTGTAGAACAGACACCCGCGTGGCTAGACAGGATGTTCCTATGGCTGAGGTCTCTCGTGCCCACAGAACCTTGAGGAGAGGGCATCTCTGCTGACTTCTCAGAGCAGACCCACGAGGCAGGTGGCCACGGCTGGGTTGGGCACGTGAGGGAGGCAACCAATTGATGTCTCTCTTTCTCTCTCTCGCTCAAAATGAATGGGAAAAATATCCTTGGGTGAGGATTAAGAAAAAACAACCCAAAAACCTAACAAAATCCACCTACTAGGGTGTAGGAAAACCCTGTTGATGCAAAATCTGAACCTCTGAGTAACCAGCAACTCAGCCCCGCACCCCCTCCTCCCTGAGCCTTCTCCCACCTCCCCACCCATCGTGACGGTCACCTCCTTGCAGTATGGCATCCCGGTCATTAAATACGACAGGAAAGGCTTCAAGGCGCGGCAGCGGCAGCTCATCCTGACGCAGAAAGCCGCATACGTGGTGGAACTGGCCAAAATCAAGCAGAAAATAGAGTACTCGGCACTCAAAGGTGAGACACAGGCCACCTCAGGGCCAGTCACCGGGAGACCTAGCTCCCAGCACCCCAGGCAGAAAGCCCTCGACTGGAGGACGACAGTGTAGGGGCCTGTTGCTCTTGCGTAAATACCAGTGGTGCCCCAGTCACTCAAGTGTCCGGGCTGGACAGCTGTCGCCCTCTTCGTGCCCATTTTTATTTGGGGCACAACCTCGACAGCCCAACAGCACACGGACTGTGTGAGGAGGCCCTTCGCCCTGCTGGGCCCAGCAAGGGGGACGAGTGTGGGGTTGGGGAGCCCCGAGGTGCACCTCTCCTTGTACCTGTGTTTCATGTCAAGTTGTCCCTTCCTGGCTCCTCACTGCCATCTGTCTGCAGGTGTCTCTACCAGCAACCTGAGCGATGGATTCTTAGTCATTCACGTCTCACCAGGAGCCAACAAGCACAAGGTAACCGATGGCCACCTGCCTCTGCTGAGGGCCCGGCGTGGTGCCGAGATGCTGGGGGGATGGCGATGAAACCGCAGTATTGGGGAGTTTTCTTTTCACCGCTCCTACTGAAACCGCCCTGTCCTCTCCTCCCCACCGCAGGGGGACGCCATCTTGCAGTGTGAGCACATCTTTGAAGTGGTTACGAAACTCGTCATGCTGGTTAAGAAGAACATCGTGCATGTTGTTCAAGGAAGGTAGGAGATTTCGTCTCCCGTGAGGAAGGCATTCAGTGCTCAAATGCTCGTTCACGCACAGAAGGTACTGTGACCGCCTAGCTCTCTGCTGGACAGGTCCCCACGGGAATGGTAACTGTGTCACCTGTGCCTGCCTCCCTGCAGGGGTGGGGAACTTTTTTCTGCCCACGGGCCATTTGGATATTTATAGTGTTATTTGTGGGCCATACAAAATCATCAACTTAAAACTTACGTTGCTATGAAAAGAGTCCTTAGAGCAAGTCGTTCTCAACCTTCCTAATGCTGTGACCGTTTAATTCAGTTCCTCAGGTTGTGGTGACCCCCAACCATAAAATTATTTTCGTTGCTACTTCATAACTGTAATTTTGCTACTGTTATGAATTGTCATGTAAATATCTGATATGCAGGATGTATTTGTTACAAATTGAACATAATTAAAGCATAGTGATTAATCACAAAAACAATATGTAATTATATGTGTTTTCCCATGGTCTTAGGCGACCCCTATGAAAGGGTCGTTCGACCCCCGAAGGGGTCGCGACCTACAGGTTGAGAACCGCTGCCTTAGAGTGATTGAATTTCAAGTCCCTGGGCCGGACGTTCCCCACCCCTGCTCCAGTGGGTACCCTGCCCTTCCATTAAGAACTTCTTCCCTCTCCCCAATGCCTGGGGCTCCAGAGAAATGAAGTGGGTGATCACTGGCTGACCTCAGGGAACAGGGTCTTGTGACCCAGTATTCCAAGGCGGTGCTCAGGCCCCTGGGGGAAGCTGTCACAGTGGGGGGGTGGGCCTCGGGCCCGAGGAGGTGGCAGCCTGTTTTGGAGGACAGCTGGTTGAGCACAGGGGGCCTCCACTTTGCAGGCTGCCTACAGACGGAAAAGTGCTGGCATTTCTGTGGGACATAAAAGAAAAACCCCTGGTGCATAGAGTACCTGTTCAATTCTCTCGGCAGCTCTGAAGTGGGTGCCACCGTCACACAGCCGGGCAGGGACTGTGCACGGACCCTCAGTACGGCTCCCAGAGCCCCTAAAGCAGGCTGCTCCCTCACACTTCTGCTCCCATTACGCCCCAATCCCTAAAACCTGCTGAGTAAATCCCTGTGTGGATGGAACAGCGAGAGGTGGGTACGTGGAAAGTGGTGCTTCTGTATTGCTCTGCCTCTGAGGGCAGAGCTAGCCCATGAGAGCTGTTGTATAAAGACATCTAGTTACCCAGACAGCAGCATGGCCCCTTGAAACTGAAGGAGCTAAACTGATCTTAGAGTAATTAGAGACAAGGGGTAAGTTTCCTGGTTATGGAAATGGTTTTCGTCTTTGCATTACTCAAATTCTATAATCAAACAGGTTTAACCTTGAAACGAGTAAAAGTTCCTAAGTAAATTTCTTCTGTAGAGCAAAGGCGGAGAGAGAAAAGTAACACCAGGTCAGTAACTCATCATGTTTTGTGTATTTTAAGTTTACAGTTTTATATCAGTCCTGGAAGAGAAGGCACAATAGTTTTCGACACGGGACCAGAAGAACAAATCTATAAAGATAAAAACGGACAGTTAACAGTGGTGAGTGGCTGTCTGGGGAGGGAGGGAAGCACTTTTTGATGAGAATAAAGATGAAAATGCTGCCAATTTCAGCCCTCCTGTAGACGGACTGGAATCATAGCTAGTTCATCTCTTTCTAGTCCTGCTTCCACATCTGAGAAACAGGAAGGAACTGGAATTGGTGCTGGAGACATAGATCCAAATGCTGGATGAAGCACGAGTTTACTGCCATGTGTACTGGGAGCCAGAGCTGACACTCAACCCTCCTCGGGTTTAAATGGCAAAGCCCCGCTTTTCCCTGGGCGGCGCAGGTGTTGGGCCTCATCACAGTGGTTCTCAAACTCCAAACTAGAGCCTCCTGCGTTAGCATCTCACCCCCAGGCTCTGTGCTGTCATTGGCTGCGGGTGTGGCCGGGTGCTCAGAGCTTTGCCCTCCCCGCCAAGTAGCTTATTCTGAGCCCAGCTCCAGCAGCTCCCTTTTGGAGTCACAGAGCCTGTCACAGGCCTCGCGAGCCCATTTCTGTGTGGCTGGTCGAAGCGACATCACCTACCTGGGTGATGCTGACGGGTGGGGTGATAACTGCTTCCTTCCGAGGGGGGCGAGGTGAGGCCTCTAAGCCGCCGCGTGGACTCTTCCAGGTGTCTGTCCGCATGAAGTCCTGATAGAGGGTGGCGTCTGCCGAGGCCAGGACGTAGGAAGCGGGATTTGACCCAGGAAGCTACCCCTTCGAGGAGAGGCTCCCGCGGCTCTGAAGAAACGGAGCGGCTTCTCATGCCAGCGCCCATCCCCAGCGTCTCAGCTGCCCTGTCGCGCTAACGTAGAACGTCCTCTCGGGGAGTCACGTCACCGAGAGGGTGGTTGTGAACGTCCCCAGTAGGATAGACACTCGCTGTGCCCTCTGCCCGGTCACTGTAAGGTAGGCAACAGCTTCTCTACCTCTGCCGGCTGCCTCCAAGGCACAATGAAGTGTTAGTGGTCTGAGTAAGTAACTGAAAGTTCACAACGCTGCAGCATTTGAATTTTGCTTTAAATACATGGAATGAGAAATGTGCCCGATTCCTTAACATTTCTCATAGGCTCTCTAGGTCCCAGATGGTGAGCTGTGTCTCCCCAAAATTAAACTGGTGGCAACACCAGCTGATTGATTGGTTTTGCTTTTTCAGAAGCCCAGCTGTGTTTCTGCCCCAGACTCCCTTTTGGTGTTTAAATTCAGGCGCTACGGGGAAACGACTCAGCTTTCCCACCCCGAACAACTTCAAGGTGGTCGAGTAGAAGGTACTGTGACTGCCGAGCTCTCTCTGCTGAACCCTGCACTTCACTGTGCTGGGGTTCCTGAAAAGACCCAGAAAACTGGCTTACGTAGAAGCATTATATATATAACTTTATTGTACATTATGTCCACAAATGCTTGCACAACATACAGTGACGACTTCTAAAGCTTACAGCATCTTTTTCCATAGCACAGAGAAACAGAAAGCTTAAGGACACACAGATGTGTAGAGAGCACCCAATCCAAGAGTCGGGCTGCGTGTTCCCACGTGGGCCCTGAATAGCTGCTGGGAGGTACACACACCTATTAGTAAGCAGAGGGCTGGGACCTGCCCAGCGACCAACCTGCTAAGCCGCTGCAGGAGGGCGACAGAAGGGGCTATGCCAGGGGCCGTCTCGGGCACAGGCTCCGGTACCACAATCAGGTGGCGTAGTTGAAAAAACTTGATTACAAGGGACCAAAAGCTGTTCACCCCTTTCACTGTAAGCTATTACAATGTAATAAAACTTTACTCTTTACCAGATCTTAGGCCCGTGTTTTACTTGGATGGTTCTTAAGCGTAAATACTGACTTGTTTGCCCCAATGCCAGCATAAGAAAAATTAGGTCCTCATAGAATATACTGGGTAACAGCTGGGCCAGCCAAGGCCCTCTGTCAGCTCATGGCCATGCAGCAGCATTCACCTGGAATGTCGTAGGGACCTCTCCTATCCCAGGGGAGCGGTTGGAGGAGAAGTGAAAGGAGGGAGACAGAGACGGCCAGAAACATTAGGTCATCAGGTGGAGAAGCCCAAACAAATCACTTGTTCCACAAACGTACTCTTCGTGTAAACATTTAAAAACAATGTATTTGATGGCTTTTCCATTCCTACAGGAAACATGAGAACTGACATTCACTTTAACTTTCTAGAAAAGTTCAACCCAAACGGTAGGGTTGCTGTTGGAACTCGAACAGTATAAAATATTTAAGAAACATTTTTTAAGCCCCCCTTTCCTTAGCACTTAATAAAATCCGAACGGCTTCATGCGAAGGTTCCCACACAGTTTAAAAAGCATCTACCCAGTCCTTGATTTTGGGGTTGTCACCATTGTTTAAAGGTTTATTGGAGGCTTCGCTGCTGGATACAAAAGGAAGGCGTACAACTGTCGCAAGTAGGGCAGTGCGTACAAAGTCGAAGCTGTAAAAACCATTTCAAAATATAAACTCGTTTTTTTGGACGACATTGTATCAGAGGCTGCCCATATTAATACCTTTGGTATAAAACAGTAACGTTTCCCTTGAAAAGTGGACAAAACCACCCACTACCTTACACACGTTCCTATCACCTTGTAACTACTCTACCTAGTCTAGTCTCAACCACCGACACTAGTCACATCTCACTTCTGTCCCTGACAGGCGCAGAGGAGACTGGGAGGTAGGTACCGAGAACGCCCATCCCCCACATGCACACCCCCCCGTCACAGTCACACACGTCCCCTGAACACCATGAACACTAACCGGACCCAAACGATCTGCACATCTTACTGACAGCCACTCCATACATGTCAAAATCAGAGGCAAAGACACCCAAGGGGTCTCCAGGTGATGGCTACGTTTACAGCAGGCAAGCTGCCCCGAGGCTGCTGGTGACGGTGGTCCCGCAGGGATGCCAGGCTGGGGCCACACTGAGTTTCTAAGCAAAGGGCAGGGCACCTACTGCGGCAGTCAGCCCAGCTTAAGGGGGAAGGAATGGATCCCTCGGTTTGTGAACTGTGCCCACAACCAGGCCAGATGGCCTTCCTGGAAAGCAGCGAGGCCACAAGGGCGAGCACTCACTACCAGCACAGCCCTGCCCTAGCCAGAGGTGTGGGGCCCACCAGGCACCAGACCACAGACCAGCCAAGGTAGCAAGAGGCTTGTCCCTACACAGATCAGGCACCCAGAGCTACACGAAGCCGAGCAGGTCCCGCCTCCACTGCCACAAGCTGCAGTTATCTACCAACACGCTCTGGTCATGAAGTCCTGCTGCAGAGTGGACTTCTAGCAAAGCCGCCTGGAAAGCGTGCAGGCACCAGCCAGTGTGCCGGGGCGGGAGGATGAGGGACAACGGAGCCTGAAGACACCCCTGGTGGCCACCAGCTGCAGGACCCCTCAGAGCTGTCACACTGAACCCCAAAGGCAACGCCATCCAAGAAGCTCCAATAGGTAGTCAACATCCACAAAAATAAATACTGCAAACGAAAGTCCTCACATACGCTTCGTACGCATTCACACTTTTCCTTTGAGAACCCAGCGGGCCTTCCAGGTTCTCACAGAAAGTAGAGCCCTTGGACATAGCTTGTCAACAACACGGGAGCATTCACCTGGTACAAATCAATTCACCTTGTCGAGAAATATCAAAATCATCTGGTTTGTTACAAAAGTATCTCCAGAGTCCAGGGGAAGTGGAAGGTGCCTGGGAGCCTGCAGGGGTCAGTGTAGAGTGGGGAGGAGGGAGGAGAGCTCGGGTCCGCTTGCCTGCTCACTGGTGGAGGTGGGCATGGTCGTCAGGTCACTTGATGTGGATCCGCCGCACACGCTCGATGCGCTCGCGCTCCCGCTCCTCGTCTTCGTCCAGGTGGTGGGAGCGCCCAGCCGCCCCACCCGTGGCCTCCAGGAGCGCATTGTCAGGTCCACGGCCATCCTGGGCCTCATACAGCAAAATATTCAGGGTCTCCTCATAAATCCGGGCCTCAGGGAACTCCACCTGCATCCCCACGAGATACAGGCAGGTGAGCGAGCATCACACACGGACCGCCACCGCCACCCAGTACTTTCAGGCTAATCAGCCCCTGGGATTCCATTTAAGCCCAAGGAGAGCAAGGAAACAGAAGGCCTAATGGGCACAGGCCCGTAACAGCTCCCGCAGCACGCATTAGCTTTGCAGAACGGCGCAGAGACAGAGGGGAGAGGGTAAGTACACTGGTTTGGAGCGGGTGATATAAAACTAGATCCTCAGAGTCCAGAGCAGTGAGGGGGTCATGTGCTCGGAAGGAAGTCAACAGGGTAGGAGCTAAGGATGCTGAGTGGGCCTCGTGAGGGTGGAGGGCTGCTCTAGGTCAGGGGGCCGGGGGGGACGGACAGATGGCAGCGAGTAGACAGAAAGCCAAGGTCAGGATCTTGAAGGCAGCCCTGTTGCTCTGATGACCGGGACGGGATGGGGCCGTGCTGGTGGGAAGCGTGCTGTGGGGAGGATCAGGAAGCGCACAGGCAGCGTAGGTCACTGAAGCAGGAGGCAGTGCTGGCAGCGGCCACGCACGGGTAGTGGCATATGTGAGTCAACACTTAGGGCAAAGGAACTGAGGTGCAGCGAGGCTGCCCCTACATGCTGGGTGGCACAAAAGGAGCGCCATTTGGATTCTCTAGGACCTGCGTCTGCACCTTAGCGGGCCCAAAGGACAATGAAAGCTGTGCAAGTGCACACGCCAGGTTAGCCACGCAGAACCGTCCGCGCCAAGCCCTCACCTTGGTCTGCTTCTTCTCAGTGGCATAGACGATGGAGGTACAACAGACCTCAGCAATCTTCCGGCCCTGACCATAAAAGGACCAGCAGCAGATTTCGTCCCCGATGACATCCTTTATGAACAGGACCCGTCCGTTAAAGCGCAGTGATAGCTTATCGAAGAGTTCAATGTTTTTCAACATATTGTCGTCAGAATTGCTGCAAAAGAGCATTTGGTAAGGTGACCACAAGCGGGTGATAACCCTGCCACCGGCAGAGTGTCCACACACGGGGCCCATTATCCCTGCTACCACGAGAAAGGCACCAGTCCCCACTGCTCAGAGAAGGAAAGAGAGGGCCTGAGAAAGTGGGTGATTACTTGAGGCAAAAAACGAATGAATGGCAGAGCCAAGGCCTCAAAAAAGACAGCTCCAGCCGCTCAGCCTGAGCTCCTAGTCAGTGTGCTAGAGAGGCTGCTATGCTGTGTGCAACCACCAGAGGCGGAGCGTGGAGAGCACGGGCCTGCGGGCACTGCGCCAGGTGGGGCATGGAGGACAGCCCAGCAAGCACAGGAGCGTCAGGATGGAACTGCCGAGGTGACGCTCTATCCTGCTCAGATTACGGGTCTTGAGTAACTGCATCAGGTCCCCCTAAGGTCCCTCAAGTTCCTGATTTAGAGTCACAAGTTCCCAAGGGCCACCAGGCATTCTAGAAACCTGGAGATATTGCTGGTGGGGAAATGAGGAGCGACTGCTAATGGGTACCAGGTTTCTTTTGGAGGTCATGAAAATGTTCAAAAATTAGGTGATGGCTGCACAACCTGTAAATATACTAAAAACTACTGAATTACAAACTTTAAAAGGGTGAATTTATGGTACATGTAAATTTTATCTCCTCTCTAGCCTCTCCCTTTCTTGCCATCTACCTATCTGGCTTCCTCGAGGTGCAAGGGGCCCCCTCATCTGGAGGGAACAAGAGGAGCCGGGCCCGCTGGTGTGAGCGGAGGCTTTCCTAGCGAGTACAGAAGTACAAAAGTCTTTTCTGGCTGGCGCCTTACCTGGTATATGAGTATTTGTTGTTACTTCTGTTGTAGAGTAACTTCACGGCTGGCTGCGGGTTGATTTAAAAAAGGAAGAAGAGGGTTACTTGGAGTGCAGATGCCATAAACCACTGGCTTCCCGTAAGGCTGGCCCTGCCACCAGGCCGAAGAGGCAGACAGCACAGCCTGCTGGCCGGGCCGGGCTCGAGAAGGAGACTGTGTGCCCCAATGGCAGGGAACACAGGATGAGCCACAGGTTCCCATTCTTAGCCCCTTCTCGGGTCTTCCTCAGGCAGTTACACAAGTTCTCATCTCAAAACGTGTTCAGAAGAACCTCTATCATCTCCAATAGCAAGAAGAGTGCCACGGGGCCTCCAACATACCTTGTTTGAAGTCGCTATAAGTTTCTGTTCTTCTTTGGATGAGGTGATAACAGGAACTTTGCAGAAAGGCTCATAAGCATCTTTGTTCTGCTGGAACAAAACGTGCTTTCAGCCGAGGAG